AGCAGGAACTTTGCTGAGCTTTGGAGAACTTTACTTCCAGTTCTTGAGACATACCGTCTACTTTGGCAGTTACCGCATCCTGATGGCCCTCTGCCGTGCTCGTTCAGTGTCCTGCGCTGTGCCTGGAGCGCACAGCTGTGCAGCATGAGTAGCCCCTGCCCTGAAGGGTTTGCAGCCTTAGCGTGTTTCCTTTTTATGCACAAAAGCAGTAGGCACTAGCAGGAACTGGTGGATGTGAGTCCAGTAAATCTAGTAACCTCAAAACTGTACCTTGTAAATTAATTGGTTAGAAATGCATGTGGCACAAGTAGTCCAGTCTTAGGCAAAACATAAAAATACAAAAATGATTAAGTGGAGTGTAAAGAGACTTCTGCAGCTGAATGCTGCAGTTATTAGCTAACAGAGTTGGGTACGCAATGTCATTGAACTCAATAGGGCTTAGATGCACAAGGTTGTTCTTGTATTTATGTAGTCACACGCATCTGCTCCTGGTAAGATTCAGGGAAGGGCACACATTATAGTTGAAATTTCTCATTACACCGGGCTGGAGAAGGCTGCATTTGCTTTTTGCGTGTGTAGTTAACATACTGTGTGCAGTATAGGTATGTTTTAGGGCTGACTTGGGAAGGAGAACGGCTAGGAATAAGCTGTTGTCAACGAGAACAATTTTTGCACGCTATTTGGAGAGGGTACCTTTTTATGACGGTGGTTTGAGAGCTGATTTCCTGACTGGTTCCCTCTGGTCCTGCATTTGCTGGCTTTTGAGAAGGATGTGCATCTCATGCAGTCTAAATGTTTTTGAATGAATTCATGTATATTTTTTAAATCTTACAGTAACCAACCTGCTCTACGTACACTGAGCTGTCAGAGCTTCCCTTGGATTTTTCTTCCTGTGTTGTTCTGCTACAGTCATTATGCAAAGTAGAAAGGAATTTCTGCTAACCTGCCAGGGAAAACATTGCTGCTCTCAGCATCTGATTTACGTATCTGTCTCTCAAAAATGTATCTTGTTTGATCACTGCAGCAGAGGCAGCTCTGTACACACATGATGTGCCCAAAGGGATCAAAGTATTTTCTGCCTGCTTTGCCTCTCTGCCTTGTGATCGGTAAAGATTTTACAGGATTTGTTCTTTATTTTGACAGTGCCTCATACTAATTGGCTACGATTCAGTCTTGCAAGGAAATCTAGGGACTTGAAGTACTGCTGTTTGCTGAATAAAACTTATGACCTGGTGGAGAAAGTGCCGACTCTAATTTGCGTTCTACTTTTGAGTAACAGGAATGAGTTCAGTCCCTCTCAGTGATGGAGAAGTCCCAGAAAACTCTGCACTTACCTTTTTGCTAAGGTCCTGGCTTACTGCTACTGCCAAAATCTAAATAGAGCGCAGAGGATTTTCAGTGTTCTGAGAGGATTTGAGGAGCAACAGACAACGTACAGGAAATTCCTGGAATTGTTACTTTTGCACTAAAGTAAGAATATAAACACTTTAAAATACTGTGTTCTGTTCTTTCAGGTTTACACTATCAACTTGGAATCTCGTTACTTACTAATACAAGGAGTTCCTGCGTTAGGTGTCATGAAGGAATTAGTTGAACAATTTGCATTATATGGTGCCATTGATGAGTATCATGCTCTAGATGAATATCCAGCAGAGCAGTTTACCGAGGTTTATCTTATAAAATTCCAAAAACTGCCATGTGCAAGGTACCGTATAGGGCAGTATCTGCCTTCTTCTTACTCTTTTACACCCTAGTTGTTTGTAATCTGTTAAGATTCCAGACAGTTGAAGTGCTAGTCTTGGTTTTGCTAATACAGTTTAATTTCCTTCAGGGTGGCCAAGAAAAAAATGGACGAACGAAGTTTCTTTGGTAGCTTGCTGCATGTGTGCTATGCTCCAGAATTTGAAACAGTCCAAGAAACGAGGGAGAAGTTGCAGGATAGAAGAAAGTATATAGCAAAAGCAACAAATCAGAGAGGTTTGTAATTAGATTTCCTATAGATCTAACATATCGTTTCAGTGGTGGGTGGGTTAGAAGTGCCCACAATAAAACAAAATATTTTGTGTTTAACTGTTTTAAAGATTCATTTTAAATAAGCTAGCAGCAGAACAGGGACATCTTTCAACATTTAGAGGGCTGTATATTTTTGAAACAATTTTTAGTCTTTGATACAAAAATAAAAAAAATGCACAAGTTTTAATACTTCATTGTTTCCTTCCCTTTCCATTTTCTACTCTAAACGTTATCAGAAATTTCCAGCACTGATCAAGAAATTGGAAGTCATCTTTTCACCCTTGTTCCAGCTTATTCAGGCAGACCAAAAGGGAAAAAGTATTGTAAGGGGACCACACCCAGAGGCTTTTAACAAAACTTCTCTAGGCCATGCGTTGGCACTGGGGGAATGCTGAAAATGGACTGGGTTTACAGGCAGTGGGGCTGCAACACAGCAGAGTTCTTAGGCAGCACTTAAGCATGGGCGAGCTATGAAATACACAAGTTACAGAGCACAGCCTTCTCCTTTCTTGTGCTTTTATACTTTGATATAATTTTTAATTATATGATTGCATTTAAAGGGTGTTAAAATCACAAATTTTTAACATCACAACATCTGATGCCTGATGTTTCAAAACACGGGCTGTTCTTGGAATCATAACTGGAGGTTAAAATAGTGATTTTTTTTTTAAACATTAGAAATATTTTCATCATTCTCAAAACCGCTGAAATACTTCTGCTTAGGCTTTCCTCATAAACAAGCAGAGAGAGTAGGCTGGAAAACTTCAGTTTGAAAGGTGACACTTAGGAAAGAAGAATCACTGAAAGGTGACTGGGAATTAAATATCACTGGTGCTACTTCTAAAATTGCCTTGTATTAAATTCTTTTTCTTATGTGTTAGAACTAATAATGACATAAAAATAGTCAGTCTGCCTTTTCTTGTTTTAAAGATTGCTTTGTCGCAAAGAAAGTAGAGGGGCCTAAGACACCCATCTCAAAGAACTCGGCATACGACTGTCAGCGGACTACATCAGAATCCTGTGCAGCTGGTAACTGGGATCCATTTCCTTGCTTTCCTAATTCTCACACAGCATTACAAAACAGAGGATATCCTTCTGGGATTCATAATCAGAGCCAGTTTATGTTTCTCCAGAATGACAGTAACTGTGCTGAAACTTCTGGGTACTTTGGTCAAAGCATGTCCTTAACTCAAAATGTACAGCCAGGAGGACATACTCCACCAATTTCTTCAGTACAGCAAAGAGCAGTTCCGACTGATAATGGAATTGACAGGTTTCTACCTCGTACAACTCATCTACAAGAACGTAAGAGGAGGAGAGAGGAAGGTAACAAATTTGCCCTCATGGGAATATATACAGACAGTACTGAAGTCGTTATTGGTCCACAGTTACCAGAAGTACCTAAGGTGGATATGGATGATGATTCTCTGAATACTTCAGCTACGTTAATTCGAAATAAACTGAAGCAGGTAAGGATTCTGAAGCTTCTTGTATTTTTCACTTTCAAACATATACATCATGTGCTTGTTATCAATAAAAACAAAGACCCTAAAAGAACTTAATTTAACATTTAATCCAGTTTATTTGGAACTTAAAGCTAGCGCTTTGACTGCTTAACTCTTTCATCATGCAGAATATTTCAGGCTGTTCTACTCCATACCTCTTACATCACTGCTGACTTCTGAAAGTATAAATGTTAATGCTTATCGCTTTGAAAATAGCAGATTATGGGCCTAAATGGTCCTTAGTAAACGACCCTTTTTTCACAGGGGTAGGCACGATAACCTTGCAGGTAGCCTTACTGACTCTAGTGTGGTATTTGTATCTTGTTTTTCTACTTCTTTACAGTCAAAACCAAGTCAGAGTTGAATGTAATTTTTCTTGAACATTTGTTTTGACATTAAAAGTAGTACAAAACTACGAATACTATGCTGGAATGACATCTTGGGTATAAAGCCTTTTGTGGAGGACAGTAATGAATCAGGGTATAAAGCCTTTTGTGGAGGACATTAATGAATCAGTGTGTAGGTCCAACACTGTGATGTAACTTTGTTTTTATATTAAGAGGTTGGAAAAGAGTTTTCTTGACTAGAGCTAACTAGAGTGATTTGAAAGAAAAAACCTCTGTTCAAATTGACTTACAATACGCTAAACTACTTTGAAACACCTCTGATACTGAGAAGGGTGATAAAATGTGTAATAGTCCATCACTGAGTCTCTGAATTCAGTTTGTGGGTAAAAATACAAAATGCTATTGCTAACAGACTTGTATTTTTCTCAGGGTTTCACCTCCCTTTTTCTTGTGTCTAATGCTGCCCGTGGTGTTTGTTTTTCCCCCCCCTTTCCTACAGGAAATTTCAATGCAAGTGTAACTACAATGATAGATCCCTTCCAATACTGAAATTTTGGATAGGTGATCTTACTCTAAAACTAACATAAAGAAGGGATAGTTGCAGTTTACTAAGAGTAGATTTTTTTCCCCCCCCCCTCCCCAATTCAGGTGGCATATTCTGTTTCAAGGACATCTGTGGAAAAGCCAAAGGCTAGTTCAGCTAAGCCACTTCTAAAGCAGAGAAGAAGAATATAGATACTGCTGGCAGCATCTTCCTACCGTCGTCTTTAAAGGATAGCTTAAATATATATGTATTTTTGGAATGTCAAAAATAATGTTTTATACTGTATTTCAAAGCAATTCCCTGTTAAAATTGTATATATATTTTTTTCTTGGGATGAACAATTACAGTAATGTTACTTACATAGCTGTAGCAATCTTGTCCTGTGTGCTTCTCGTGAAAGAACTGTATTTACTTAATGTAAGCAACCTCTATTTATTCAGTAGCTTTTACAGTAAAGGAATATTAACATTTAGTAAGTTTTGAGTTATTCCTACTTTTACTGTGTCATGAAGAGCCACTAAGAAAAAGAACTCTTACAACACTTTCACCAGCTGGAGCTACAGTCCAGTAGTTTCCTGGAAAGTTTTCCGTTCAAATGCCATACTGCCCTGTTTAAAAACAAAAAAGCAAAACAAAACAGTAACTGGAGGATTTAAGTTAGTCAGAAAAGGGTGCTAAACTGAAACTTGCAAGCAGATGAAGTCCTTAAACTTTAGGAGTATCTTTATTCCAACAGTACTAAATTAGTGATGTCACCAGTGAGGGATGAGTCCACATTCAAAGGCATTAGTCTCCTGTAGGAAAACTAGTAAATTATTAAGTTTTTGGACCACCAGTTTATGTATTTTTGTGTGCTTAAACTCAGACGTCAAGAGTGGAAACGTTCTTGCTGTTCAGTTGTAGACCTGGCTGGGTTTTGTTCATGTAAAGCTCATAACTGAAATCTGTTTAGTACTTTTGGGGCTTAGAAGGACATGTACTTAGAGAGGTCTCCTTTAATTATGAAGCTAGAGACCCAGTAAACATGCAACAGTCGTGTAGGGTACAGAATAGAGGACACAATGAGTGGAAGCATGAAACAAGCTGAATGGCTGCCATGATTTGCCTGAACTGTGTACCAGCTTTATCGCCAACTTTGACAGAAGGTAAGTCATTTTTCTGTACCTATTAGAGAATGTTAATTTTCAAAAAACTTTTAGAAGATTTTCTGTTTATTCATT